ATAATTTTATTGTTTTATATTTTTATTATTTTATTTCCCTTCTACGTGGTGACTTTACCGAAAGAACCAAGAATATGAATCCCTGCAGTCACGAAAGCTTTAAATCAAAATTTAAAGTACAATATTCATACACTACGTTTCACTTCTCTGCCAAATTACTTGCTATCTTCCTACTTTTCGCATTGATCTCCGACATGTATTGCGAATATACGCCGGTTTTGTCTGTCTGGCTTATAATTATTAGTCTTATCCTCCAATGTTAAATTACACCACCCGCTGCTTTTAGTGAGATTTGCTTGACACGGGAACACATTATCCCAAGCGAGAGAAAATATCTTTTTTTTAGGGTAGACCTTACAAAGGCAGAAGGACCAAATGGCAATCATAATAGGGTAATCATAATAGGATAATAAAAATGCTCTATACAGTTGGAGAATGAAATCATATAAAAACATGACGTGCTAATTAAGTAGTGCTTTTATTCCGTGTGCGTGTCATTTTGTCAAATGTCCTTCATATTGGTCAAAGCCATAAACACACCGCTGTAAGTACAGTATTTAACTTGAACGTGTGTGTTTGCCAATTCTCATTGAGAATCGGGCAGACGTGGTGAGTTGTATTGTATGTTATGTAACTCTCTAAGCTATAAATCGTGTACCTTTATATTAAAACGCTTGTTTTTTTACAATTTAGTTATAGTCCAGTTTGTGTCTGCGTTTCGTCTGAGTGTCTTTCAAAAATTCAATCTCAGTGGGCTCTCATTTAGTTACCCTGTTAAGATGAACAACGCCAATCCTCAAACGCTGTTCATGGGCTAGAGGCACGCAACTTTAGAATTCTGGAATTTCTGAATCGAAAAAATATATAGTATTTTAACATTTGACATCTTCCGAAAATATATTTAAACGTGAGCACAAACACTTTTTTGACAGCGAGAATAAACGGGATATCGTTGGTAGTGGTGCACAGATGAAAAAAACAATCACCACAATGTCACGTACATGTAGTTTTATTTAATATTGAAAATCCCTTGAGAGAACATCTCGTCTTCAAGGATGTACTGTCTTATAACAAATATTGTGATAGGCTAACGTTTCTGGGAATGGCTCTTCCAAAATCATTAACGCATATTTAAGTTATCAGGCAGATGTGGTGAGTTGTATTGTTTCTTCACAGGAGTTAATTGGGGTCGAGTCTAAAAAAAAATAACTATCGTGTGATACCTGCTCACTTACAAAGTGTTTGTATTGGCGACTGCCATGCACAGCGGGTTGTTTTTGGCTGCGGGGGATACGCGTTGGGCAGCAAGAGTGCAGCAAACAATCCGGTCCTGGGCCTCCCCTAGGTCAGCTCAGCCTCAAATTAGTACCTGGTGCGATGTGTAATCATCGCCACTAGGGAGACAAAGGCGGCCGGGCGTGGTGTTGGCCACCCACCACCTCGTGTGCCGTGCCGGCCTAAATAGGTGTTCGCTAACAGCACTTGCCCCAACAGTCTGTTGCAGGCTATACGGGGGATCTGTGTTTTTGTGTGTAACAGCACTTGCCCCAACATTCTGTTAAGGCTATACGGGGGAGCTTTGTCTTTGTATGGGGGGGGGGGAGCGGTGACGTAGTGGTTAGTGCTACGCTTGCTGAAACCCCGCCTTCACCAACGCGCACACAGATCCACCTGGCGTGGAGAAAGGCCTTAATCCAGCAGGGGATTTACCGAGGGCTCTACATGTACGCACGTGTACCGAACCGAACCTATTCCAACTCTTTGGTTCTTTCGGTAAAGTCACGTAGGTATAAAATTAAAAATAAATCACGACGTTTCGGGCGCAACACAAGCACTTGTGCTTTCCCACCTGATGATGGACGCTTGTGTTGCGCCCGAAACGTCGTGATTTATTTTTATTTTATACCTACGTGACTTACCGAAAGAACCAAAGAGTATGGATTCCTGCAGTCACGAAAGCTTCAAATCAAGATTGAACCTATTCTTCAATGCATCTCTAACCCACACCGAACTCGACCCAGTCTGGGCCCTATCGGGGTCAGACGTCGGAAATCTCATCAGGGAGCTGAGCGACCACCACCACTACCGCCGTGCCTAACAGGGTGTTATAGGATTGCACTCTCATACGCACAAGCCCTTCGGATTACACACGTTGGGTTGCACTCCCTCGTCCAGGAGGCCGCTCTTTCTCACATTAACATCATGCTAATCTCTCACATTAACATAGCCACTTCCGTGCCCTCTAATTGCTCACATTAACATCATGCTAATCTGTCACATTAACATAGCCACTTCTGTGCCCTCGTTTAGGAGGCCACTCTCCCAGCTTACTTTTACATGCTAATGTCTCACATTAACATCATGCTAATCTCTCACATTAACATGCCACTTCTGTGCCCTCTAATTTCTCACATTAACATAGCCACTTCCGTGCCCTCGTTTAGGAGGCCGCTCTCCTAGCTTAATTTTACATGCTAATGTCTCACATTAACATCATGCTAATCTCTCACATTAACATTCCACTTCCGTGCCCTCTAATTTCTCACATTAACATCATGCTAATCTCTCACATTAACATTCCACTTCCGTGCCCTCTAATTTCTCACATTAACATCATGCTAATCTCTCACATTAACATTCCACTTCCGTGCCCTCTAATTTCTCACATTAACATCATGTTAATCTCTCACATTAACATGCCACTTCCGTGCCCTCTAATTTCTCACATTAACATAGCCACTTCCGTGCCCTCTAATTCCTCACATTAACATCATGCTAATTCCTCACATTAACATCACTAGCCCCGGCCACTTCTTTATGACCCTTGAGCTACACCCATTTCAAACCTTTTAAAAACAGTCTGCCTCAGCAACAGACCATGCTTTCCCACCTGATGATGGACGCTTGTGTTTCGCCCGAAACGTCGTGATTTATTTTGTTTTATTTTATACTCACGTGACTTTACCGAAAGAACCAACGAGTTTGGGTGTTACAGGATGAGGAGGCACGTTGCGGCCAGCAGAGGGCAGTGCAGCAAAACCAAATTTTCGCCTCCAAGTGCTCTCACCCCCCCCCCCACCACGCCACCCCCCACCACCCCGACCCCCCCTCCACCACCACGACCCCCCCCCCCCACCACGCCACCCCCACCACGCCCCCACCCCCCCCACCACGCCACCCCCCACCACGCCACCCTCCCCCCCACCACGCCACCCCCACCACCACGACGCCCCCCACCACGCCACCCCCCCAACGCTATGTGACCAGCACGCCGCCTGCATCACGACGTGGGGGGGGGAAGGCTCCATACATCCAGCAAAGTGGATCGACAGGCGGACTGTGCGTGTCCCCACATGGGTTGTATATGTCAACAAAAGACAAAGATCCCCCGTATAGCCTGTAACAGACTGTCGGGGCAAGTGCTGTTTAGCGAGCACATACGAAGGTCCGGCACGGCACACGAGGGGGTAGGTGGTCAAGCACCACGCCCGACCGCCTTTGTATCCCCCCCCAGCGGCGATGTTTTGACACACCGCGCCAGGTACTCATTTGAGGCTGAGTAGACCTAGGGGAGGAGGCCCAGGACCGGGTTCAGATAATCAACACCGGTGTCGGTGGCCGTGAGTGGGAATCCAACTCGGGTCGCTGGGTTCGTAGCGTAAGCGTAGCGCTAACCACTACGCCACCGCTCCCCCCCCTACACAAGCAAAGACAAAGCCCCCCCGTATAGCCTGCAACAGACTGTCGGGGCAAGTGCTGGTTACACACAAAGACAAAGATCCCCCGTATAGCCTTAACAGATTGTTGGGGAAAGTGCTGGTTACACACAAAGACAAAGGTCCCCTGTATAGCCTTAACAGATTGTTGGGGAAAGTGCTGGTTACACACAAAGCTCCCCCGTATAGCCTGTCACAGAGTGTCGGGGCAAGTGCTGTTTGACACACAAAGACAAAGCTCCCCTGTATAGCTTTAACAGATTGTTGGGACAAGTGCTTGTTACACACAAAGACAAATATCCCCCGTATAGCCTTAACTGATTGTTGGGGAAAGTGCTGGTTACACACAAAGACAAAGCTCCCCTGTATAGCCTTAACATATTGTTGGGGAAAGTGCTGGTTACACACAAAGACAAAGCTCCCCTGTATAGCCTTAACATATTGTTGGGGAAAGTGCTGGTTACACACAAAGACAAAGCTCCCCCGTATAGCCTGCAACAGACTGTCGGGGCAGGTGCTGTTTGATACACAAAGATCCCCCGTATAGCATGTCACAGAGTGTTGGGGCAAGTGCTGGTTACACACAAAGACAAAGCTCCCCCGTATAGCCTGTGACAGATTGTTGGGGCAAGTGCTGTTTGACACACAAAGACAAAGCTCCCCTGTATAGCCTTAACATATTGTTGGGACAAGTGCTGGTTACACACAAAGACAAAGATCCCCTGTATAGCCTTAACAGATTGTTGGGACAAGTGCTGTTTGACACACAAAGACAAAGCTCCCCTGTATAGCCTTAACAGATTGTTGGGACAAGTGCTGGTTACACACAAAGACAAAGATCCCCTGTATAGCCTTAACAGATTGTTGGGACAAGTGCTGTTTGACACACAAAGACAAAGTTCCCCCGTATAGCCTGTCACAGAGTGTCGGGGCAAGTGCTGTTTGACACACAAAGACAAAGCTCCCCCGTATAGCCTGTCACAGAGTGTCGGGGCAAGTGATGGTTACACACAAAGACAAAGCTCCCCCGTATAGCCTGTCACAGAGTGTCGGGGCAAGTGCTGTTTGACACACAAAGACAAAGCTCCCCCGTATAGCCTGCAACAGACTGTCGGGGCAAGTGCTGTTTGACACACAAAGACAAAGCTCCCTCGTATAGCCTGTCACAGAGTGTCGGGGCAAGTGCTGTTTGACACACAAAGACAAAGCTCCCCCGTATAGCCTGTCACAGAGTGTCGGGGCAAGTGCTGTTTGACATACACGCACACACTCGCATGCCAATGACCACACCTCCACCGTCGCTGACTCCACCCCAAGAGGACAGCCCGCCTGTCGCTCGGACCTGTTGCTTTGCTGGCTGTGTTGGCGTTGCTTTGCTGGCTTGCCTCCTTGCCTGTGCCGCGGTGTCAATTGAGAAGCGAGCAAAGCCTCAGAGAGAGAGAGAGAAGGAGAGGTGTTAAACAAGAGGGTGGTGGTAGGGTAATACAACATCGTCGTTTCGTAGAAGAGCGCACGTGGAAGAGCGGGTGGTGGTCGGTGTCGCAGAAGACGAAGAGGGACGCCAATTGTCAGCGATGGCGAAAAAGGGAACGGTGGAAGCAAAGTGAACGTTTAAAAAGGACAACAACAAAAACATCAAAGCGAGGATTTGAAAAATAAGGACGATGTAGACGGAAGAAGGGAGAAGGAGGAGGAGAAGGAGGAAAAAATAATGTAATAAGGTGTTGGTGTGTTTGTGTGTCGCGAGGCCCGGGCACCGCGCGTGTGCGCCCATAACAACCGGCGCGTCGAAGGACGCGCCGGGCACTTGAAAAGCAACGCCTACTCGTCTCTATTATCAACGTTATAACTACGACTATTACCTACGTTGCTTGTCCTCCTCCTCGTCATCGTCGCTGCCGTTTGAGAGAAGGAAGAAAGGAGGAGGAAGGGATTTACGTGAGGTGTTGTGGTTTTTTTGTGCCGTGCGCGCGTGCGTTACAATTGCGGCGTGGCGTGTGGGTCACGACTGGATGAAGACAATGGGCGACTTCGTCGTCAACCGCGTGGGATTTCTACGTCGTAGCAAGTAGTGTTTGTTGATAGCTGATATATATAAAACACAAAAAAACATTTTTTATTACGGTGGTGCTGGCGGGTGGCCGGTTACATCGTCCGTAGCGGAAGAACAAGAAGATAATTACAGACGTAATTCGGTAAAGAAAGACAATTTACAACGGCAAGGTGAGTGTGTTTGTGTGTGTTTGATGATTGTTGCAGAGCCAATTACGATAATTGTTTTTTTTGGTGTTTGTCCTCTGCCCGCGGGGTTTGTGTAAGCAAGCTTCCGAGAGATGCCCACGTTTGTTAAATATATGCCACGTACATTTGCGTGGTGTGGCTACACGTTTATGAGCAACGTCTTCAGAGTGAAACCCACAATGTGTCCCCCTGACATGCTTGTAACATGCTGTGTGCTGATTATACAACGATGTGGCGTCAGCTATGGCATAGGACCACCTATATACTATAGGCGGTGTAAACTAGTGCAATGTGCACATTTTGGTATGTGTTATATATAAGCTATAATCTATGTGCTCAATAATAATGCGCATAGGACCACCTATATACTATAGGCGGTGTAAACTAGTGCAATGTGCACATTTTGGTATGTGTTATATATAAGCTATAATCTATGTGCTCAATAATAATGCGCAGTAATAGTGGTTATTGGCGGACCCTTTGCCAGTCCTCTGCTGGATGAAGGCATCGCCACGCCGTTGTAGGTTCAGAGTGGTTGCGTGACCATACTTCACCACGCCGGTCAGTGGGAACTCGTTACCTTGGACGCTCACGATCCCGTTCAGAAATCACCACCCGCCACTGATGTTAGCCGTGGCTAGCCGGGTTCATAGTGCAGTGCGCTAACCACCGTGCCACCGCTCCACCTTGTGTATGCCACGGAGCAATACAGTATGCACACTACGTACACGTGGTGTGTGTGTGTATAGTGTTGTGTAATTACTTAGTAGCATACAAGGTACGAATGAAGTCGTTGCCTGTCAACCTTTCTGCTGTGATTAATAGGTTAATTGGAATAACAGGGTTGTAACAGGGTTGCCTCCTGAGTAGCAGTAAAACACCTAATCTTATTTAAATGTAGACGTTACGGTGTGTGTATGTTAACATGTTACATGCTTTGTACACTGCATGACAGTACCACATGCACGTATGTACACGTTCCAGCCCAACGTGTCAATCCAATGTTGGATGAGGCTCTCTTCACCCTCGGTGGGTTATTACACCACACTTCGACATTCTACAAAACCGTATATGTTATAGGATGTGTGGCATAGAGTATATAGTAATAATGTAGGTGGACCTGGGTGAAACAGATGGTATGGAAACGAGACGTTGCAAGCTAATAGGCACGTCTTCTCAAAGCCGCGTCTTCTCAAATGTTAATGTTGTACACTGTGCACGCATCTGTCAATTGGTACAAATACATAATAATAGACAACATGTTTGGGATTGAGCATTCGATTGAGGACGCCAACCGGGGAGATGGAGCTTTGTGATCCAGTTGACGTGCATGAGTGGGGAAGTCCTCCAACAGCGGACAAAACGAATGGCTGATGATGGTGAATGTTGGACCACGCTGTGTGAGAGATTGTGTCCAAGCTGTGGAGTATACAACACTGACCTCTACACAATGCTTTGCTGCTGGCTACGACGAGGGTAGAACACGTACACAAGGAGTCGTCGTCACCCTTTCTGGAACGCACCGAATAATTATCACTCTACTTTCGCGACAGAAAATCGAAAGTCCAAGCATACTTTTGGCAGTGTGACATGCTTTAGAAACTGAATCTGCTGCCGACGATGTTATTTCAAACGTTTACATTTTAAGATGAATAAATGCGGTACAGTACGAGAGGTGAAATATGCTACGAATTAGCTGTTTCCCGTGCTAGTACATAAGGACACGATTATCAGACTTTAAACATTTTTTATGGGTTGGCTGCATTTTATTGAAGAATTGTTTGCGTGTAGTATACAGTTTGCCTTTATGGCTCACCATCTGCATCACTCTGTTGGCACAAACAGGTGCTGCGTATTTTTGATATTCAGGTCAAGATGTTATCACAACTGATGCCACCACACCTCGCAAATACTTCCTCCTCGATTCCTTTGTTGCCTTTTCGTTGACCTCTGGTTGCAAGTCCAATCGGCTGTCTGGAATCTGCCCACTCCCGTCCTCCACACGTGTCCGACTCACCCCAACCATCTTTTCATGATGACATCTTCACTGCAACAACTTGGCTTCCGACATTTTATAAGGAACTTCCAAGTCGTTTGCCCTATACATCCATGCAATTTGTATCATTCTTCTCATGCGCGCCATATTCAAAAGCAGTAGTCAGATTTTTCTGTTTGCTCTGACTGTACACATCATGAAAGCATTTCCACAGTGCTGTGTTTTTTTTTTAAACCCTATTTCCCCGTGGCGAGAGATGGCGATGGATTTTGGGAGTCCTTCATCCAGCAGTAGATTGATCATGGCCGATGACGGAACCCCTCCGCAGCACCATGCCAACGAGTGTCAAAAGCACAGAGAGCGCATGTTTTTGATGGACTTTATCAGCTACTCTGCTTTGTCATAAAGTGTATGAGAGTGGCTTTCTGTGCGTGCAGGTACTAATGATGGGAAAGCATGCCCAGACAGCTCTCATTGTGTGGTATTGCATAGCCACGGGCACACGCCTGGCGTGCCTTCTGAGCCACAGTTGTACCCAGAAAAAATGTTCATACTTAATACAGTAATGCTGGTGTTCATGTGCAGTTGAGTGGAACTATAAGGCGCTTACCTGCCGTACAAGTTTATAGATAACTTGTCCCCATTTCTGTGCCTATTGGGTTGTTAATGTGTAAAGTTGAACCATAAATTCACTTAACCTTTGCACGCTAGTTAATACTAGTTTCAGGAAAATGCTACGACCTTTGTCAATCCAATGCTAGGTCAAGGTCATCCCTAACAATGTTGGTCATGGGAGATTTTTTGGCCTTAATGCTGTTTCAGCACAGGTTGGTGAAGGAGGGTTCCCTCTGGCAGTTATCACTCGCCACTGATGGTAACTGTGGCTAGGAATTAAACTCGGATCACTGGCTTAACACAATGTGCTAACCACTGTGTCACCAATTGCCCCCTTTCGTAATAGTACTGTACTCTAGTCCGTTAAATTTAAGTTGATACTGAAAAGCGGTCCACGTTGGCAGCTCCGACATAATGATCAGAACCATGGACACGGACAAAATGGAACAATATCTGACAAGAGTGCAAAGAAACGTGGCGAGACGCTGGCTGGGAATTGCACCGACAAACAGAAAGAGGACCACGTGGTTCATGGATCAGACACAAATCAAAAGACATTTTGACTTAATAATGGTACTGTTTTGGGTAAGACATTGCTCACCAATGGAAGAGACTGGTGATGATGGCTGAAAAAGGAGAGAGCCCAACCCGAGAGGAGATGGAGCGGCGAGATAAGTTCATGTGCAGGGATCGAGTCAGATTGTGGTATCACAGCAGCGCGAGGGATGGTGGAGGTGTTGGGAGACCTTCATCCAACTGTGGATAGACAATGGCAGGTGATGATGAGTTCATGCTTCAGTACAACACTATACATTACAGGATACAATTTTTTTTAGAGAAGTTCAGAATATTTTGGGAGTGGAATAGTGATGATACACAAGCTATCTCTTGTTAATGTTTCAAATACTGTGCAGTACTTAACAATCATACAGTATATGGCCATTCACATCAACCCTAATACATCACTGGCTTGTTTTAGCACCCACACAAAACATGTTTGACAACCCTTTGTACTAAAATAACTAAAGACATTTTCATATTGCAGAAATGACAGGAAACCACGAATGACATTGCACTGTAGCATTGGGCAGCCTACGAAATAAATTGTTCATCATGAGAATATCCTCTTCTTTGGTTCTTTCGGTAAAGTCACGTAGAATGAGAATAAAATAATAAATTGATAAAATAAAATAACACAATAATCTCACGACGGTTCGGCCACAACACAAGCGGCCTTCATCAGGTGAAGGGACGAGACTGTCTGGAGCGCCTCGCTCCAGCGCTGTCCTCCAGACAGTCTCGTCCCTTCACCTGATGAAGGCCGCTTGTGTTGTGGCCGAAACGTCGTGAGAATATTGTGTTATTTTATTTTATCAATTTATTATTTTATTCTCATTCTACGTGACTTTACCGAAATAACCAAAGAAGATTAATCATTGCAGTCACGAAAGCTTTAAATCGAGAATATCCTCCTTACCTTTTAAACTTCACATACGTGTGTCCGCAGCGATGATCTATCCACTGCTGAAGACCTCCCTCATTGCTCTGTCTCCACCGTGGACGTCCTCTTAAGTCGTGTTTTCTCTGGCTGCCGTTCCGTCGTTAGTTTTGAGCACAACGTACATGTACTCAGCTTCCTATGCATCTGCAGGAAGTTATTGCATACCAGATGTAGACAATCATGATAGCAGTCGGCACACACCATATATTTGTCGTAGTGCATTGCAGGATGGTGAGCGGTGGTGGCATTTTTGGGAGGCCTTGATTCACCAATATATTGATTCATTAAAATAATGATAATAAGCGCCACGGTGGTCGTGGGTTCGATCCCAACCCTTATGCCTGTATATTTGTAAGTTTTGATTATCTCCCCATGATCGCGTGGATTTTTCTCCGGGTCCTCCGGTTTCTCCCTCCACATTTAGAATCAACGTGCGTTAGAGTATTTGGCTGCTATACATTTCCACATGATAAGCCACGTCTTTGAGCTATCCGTTTTTGACCTTTTAAATATGCCACACTGCTGCAGATATCGGAATGCAACCCCGTGATCCGTCAGTGTCTTGTGAACCGGTCAATAATTACCCGTTCTGCCTGCAATGCCCCCAGACACACGCACACCAATATCCATGGCATTATCATCAGCCATGACTAATCCACTGCTGAATGAAGACCCCCCCCTCTCTCTCCCACCATGCCGATGTCATCTCACGGTCGTGTGATGCAACAATCCGTCTGGCACATGCGCACGAGCGAATTTCATCGCTCCATCTCCATGGTGGATTTATCTTGGGAGTCGTCCATCCTCTGGCCGCCACTCTTCCGTTAGTTTCAACCAAAGGCCTTCATCTCTTCCCGATCCCACTTGACG